ATATCACTATCTTAGGATATCAATATCTTAGGATATCAGTATCTTAGGATATCAATATCTTAGGATATCAATATCTTAGGATATCAGTATCTTAGGATATCAATATCTTAGAATATCAATATCTTAAGATATCAATATCTTAGGATATCAGTATCTTAGGATATCAATATCTTAGGATATCAATATCTTAGGATATCAATATCTTAGGATATCAATATCTTAGGATATCAATATCTTAGGATATCAATATCTTAGGATATCAATATCTTAGGATATCAATATCTTAGGATATCATTATCTTAGGATATCAATATCTTAGGATATCAATATCTTAGGATATCAATATCTTAGTATATCAGTATTTTAAGATATCAGTTTCTTAGGATATCAATATCTTAGGATATATATTAATATCTTAGGATATCATACAATATCTTAGGATATCATACAATATCTTAGGATATCATACAGTATCTTAGGATATCAATATCTTAGGATATCAATATATTTGGATATCAATATCTTAGGATATCAGTATCTTAGGATATCAATAACTTAGGATATCTATATCTTAGGATATCATACTCTTAGGATATCAGTACAGTATCTTTGGATATCAATATATTAGGATATCAATATTTTAGGATATCAGTATCTTAGGATATCAATATCTTAGGATATCAGTACCTTAGGATATCAATCTCTTAGAATTTCATACAGTATCTTAGGACATCAATATCTTAGGATATCAGTGTCTTAGGATATCAATATCTTAGGATATCAATATCCTTGGATATCAGTATATTAGGATATCAGTATCCTAGGATATCAATATCTTAGGATATCAATATCTTAGGATATCAGTATCTTAGGATATCATTATCTTAGGATATCAATATCTTAGGATATCAATATCTTAGGATATCAATATCTTAGTATATCAGTATTTTAAGATATCAGTATCTTAGGATATCAATATCTTAGGATATATATTAATATCTTAGGATATCATACAGTATCTTATGATATCATACAATATCGTAGGATATCATACAGTTTCTTAGGATATCAATATCTTAGGATATCAATATCTTAGGATATCAATATCTTAGGATATCAGTATTTTAGGATATCAATATCGTAGGATATCAGTATCTTAGTATATCAATATCTTAGGATATCAATATCTTAGGATATCAATATCTTAGGATATCAATATCTTAGGATATCAGATACGGTATCTTAGGATATCATACAGTATCTTAGGATATCAATATCTTAGGATATCAATATCTTAGGTTATTATATATCAATAGTCAAAGTCGCATTTTTCTAGTGTTTTATTGGTTGAGAGCATATCAGGTGAGAGTGACGAAATTAGGGTGTCTTCCTCGCAACAGCGCGAGAGGGAGATAATACATTATCGACCGGCGAATAACATAAAAAATCACGTGGCCATCACTTGAAGATGCGACCTTTGGACCTGCCTAGTACGTACGTAATTAAAACTTTCGCTTTAAGTAACTGCAGTGTAGCCAGTGTTTAATATAACGTTTTAACAATAAAACATTTCATGTATTTACGTTCGTTTGTTCTTTAATATATAATCTGTTGTTTCTTTGACTATTGATATATAATAAAACACTTATTTACTGAGACCTCGGGAAAGCAGTGTGTTTTGTGGACCCCCGACCGTCGATGTTTCCCTCGGCTTCGCCTCGGGAAACATCGACGGTCTCGGGTCCACAAAACACACTGTTTCCCTCGGTATCAGTAAATAAGTGATAAATGATCAATATCTTAGGATATCATACAGATTTGTGAACGAGTTGTATTGAATCAATTGACTGACTATATGTCACAAAGGAAAAGATATACTGAACACCAAAGTGGCAATCGAAAATTACATTCTGCAGAAACATTAAACATTTTTATAACAGATCAAATCTTGCAGTCTATGGATCGTAAAGAAGTTACGGCCTTAGTTTTAATAGACTTATCCAAAGCATTTGATAGCATAGATCATTCAATTCTACTAGTGAAACTTCAAACCATTGTTGTGTCTAAATCAGTGTTGGCATGGTTTAAAAGTTATCTATCGGGACGAAGCCAAATAGTACGTATTGGGTCGACATTGTCGGAAACATGTATTATAACTCGAGGGGTTCCTCAAGGATCTATTCTTGGGCCGGCATTATTTAATATATATATTAATGACCTGCCCAATGTTCCAAAAGAGTCCTCTTTGGAATCTTATGTGGATGATTCGAAAATCTATCTGGCATTTCCAATTCAGGATGTTGAAACTGCTGCCTTTAAACTTACACAAGATATGGAAAGAATTACCGCATGGTGCTGTATAAATAGTCTGCTAGTGAATCCAAAGAAAACGAAACTTCTATTACTGGGTACAAGTCAAATGCTGAAAAAACTCTCTGGCACAGATTTCTATATAACTGTTCTTGGTGAGAAAATAATCCCACTTCAGACGGTTAAAGATTTGGGAATGACTTTGGATTCAAGTTTGACTTACGACAAACATATTGCCGATACCGTCTCAAAATGTATCACTGAATTATGCCAAATCAACAGAGTTAAGCATATTTTCGACAAACACACTTTATCCCTTATTATAAATGCACTGGTCTTCAGTAAAATGTATTATTGTTCCTCCGTTTGGTCGAACACCTCGAAAAAGAATATATCAAAACTCCAAAGCGTGCAGAACTTCGCGGCACGCGTTATTACTGGAATCAGAAAATATGACCATGTGACGCCTATCCTTCAGCAGTTAGCTTGGCTTCCAGTTGAGTGTATGTTAAAACTCAGGGATGCGGTTATGACATTTAAGTGCATGAAAGGGTTAGCTCCGCCATACTTGTGTGACAAATTCGAAATGAGATTAAAGATCCACAGTGTTAACACCAGAAATAAGGATAAGTTAGACATTCCACTGTATAATTCGGCTTCTGGACAGCGAACGTTTCATTATCGCGCAGTGTCTATTTGGAATGAGCTCCCAAATCATATTAAAGACATTGACACTTTGGACCGGTTTAAAATAGAATATAAACGTCATTTATTGCATGGATTTTTAGAAAGTAGTTAATAGTTTTAGACAATTTGGACTTGTTTAAATTAGCATATAAACGTTCTTACTGTATGGATTTTATTAGGAAGTAGTTAATCATTTTTAAAGTGACATTACTAATAATTATAAAATTTTTAATTTGTGTTTGTATGTATGTACGTATGTTTGTGGGTGTATATATATATATATATATATATATATATATATATATATATATATATATATATATATATATATATATGCCGATGCCAACGTTGCGAATGCATCGGTCAAAATTGAGAAATCATGTTGCTTGAAATAATATATAGACATATTATGCTGTCGTCAATACTTGGTCAAGCACTCAGTAATAGAATATCTTTGAATCTCTCCAGCTATCAAACCGCAAATATTTGCTTAAACTTGACTCCATGTCAGGAATACACTATTTAGGATGAAATCCAATTTAAATAGTCTCAATAACAGTCGAAATTGTCAAAATAAGTCCAATATGCGACGTGCGATCGCAAATGTGTATTTTTTGTTATTTACTTTTTATTTTGCGACACTTAAGCGTCAATAATTTCGCGACAAAATATGTTATTTTTTACCGCATCCTTTGACGTCACAGTAGAAAGCTGATGCATCACCTACGTCACGGTAGATTTGGTTTGCATCGATTTTCAGCCATTTTGCATCAGTGAATGCATCGGTCCCGAGTCCTTTTCCGCGTGAAATCTACTGTGACATCATCAAATCAATTGTTTTAGAGCCCTACGTCACGGTAGATTTGTCCGCTGAGCGATGCATCGCATGCAGATTGCGGGCGCTCGCATCAGTTCACTGATGCAGTTGCAAAATCAAAATCTACTGTGACGTAACGAGGCATTCGATTCAAGTCATGGCATGGCGGCAAGGATATGCAAACACTTGATGCAAATGAGGCAAATAATGGGAAGAAATATCTCTCGAAATTGACGGAGAAAACGGAGAACAAATTACCGAATTAATTACCAAGGCTTGGAATGAATCTAATCTTTCATCTGAGTGCAAGAATTGAAGTATATTTATACTGTGAGATGCCCACTATGTGAAACTCGAACTGAGGGCTCTAAAGTAAGTGAAATTTATCTATATTTTACATTGTAGTTCATTGTTCAGTTCAAGAAGTGTATAAAGTGGAAAATGGGCTCCACAGTTAATGCAGATTTGTTTGTATTAACATAATAATTAAAGTTTGTGTCTATTTATAAATACTATTGCTTATACCAGCAGGGGGGGGGGATGAGGTAGTTTGACATTTTACAGTCTTTACCGAGTAAGAGAGGTTTGCTTGTCTGGAGGCAAACCAGCCCCAATACCAAACTTGACAGCTTGCTTTAGTGAGGCAAATTTCATCTCTGTTTACATGGGATTATAACCTGTGCCCAGACCCTCATTTTTCTCACAGCTGGCGGGCAAAGAAAAATGAAGACCTGATACACATGTTATTAAACGTTTGTGTCCTACAACTGCCTTTATGGTTGTAACTCTGATTGGCTATTTCTAGCATGAGTATTCATGCCATATTTAATGTATTTTTTTGATATAATATCAAAAAAATACATTAAATATGGCATGAATACTCATGCTAGAAATAGCCAATCAGAGTTACAAGCATAAAGGCAGTTTTTGGTTAATTAATGCTATATATAATTAAATAATTATAGATTTAGTGATTGTAACTATATTTAGCTTGTTGTTAAATTATGTGAAATCGACATTTCTCCTGGCACATTTTGATTGCATACCGGTACTAAGAATAAAACTATGGTGTGGGTCAAGACTTGCATCAGGCTCTGTATGTAATTACAGTGCATAATAATATTGCAGGTTAATATCAATGAGATTTCTAATAGTGATGCAATATTGGTTAGAAGACTAAGGGCAAGTTTACATTGAAAGGTAATTGGTTCAAGTTGCAAGTTCCAGTGGTATCTCCTATTACATTTCATTTTATATGGAAATGAGCTGGCATGCCTCATGACAAGAGTCTAAGGCCCCGATTACACTATACCGGATTGCATCGAAGCGACGCGATTTCTGTACCGGATTGGCCTCTTGTTTACACTACGCCACTGTAATCCGGTACGTGCCGCGGCGCGAAAATCACTTCGCTTTGGAGGTGATATGAAAAGTAATCCGGTACGTGCTGTACCGGATAAAACCAAGTGTAATCAGGCAATCCGGTACTATAAATAGGTTTCGGCAAGTATATTTTAACATTGTCGTTTTATTTACTCGCTTTTAAATATTTTATAGCTGTTGTTTGCTTCGCTTTACAATTATTTATTATTTCTAGCGAAGACAAATAAAGATAGCGGTAATAACATTGACTTCTTGCTTTCAAAAGGGCAAAATTTAATGAAATACTCGTCAATTTTCGATAAGAGCGAGACAAAGCAACGTCGGGTGGTCAAGCTTTATAAACAAAGTTATAATTCACCAGTACTGTCGAGAAAACGTCCAAAATGGTCAAAACTTATTATTTGTTTCCGTGGCAACGATAAAAGATACGAGCTGGCGACAGAGCGAAGCGGCATAGTGTAAACACCCTTGATTTTGGCTTCGGTGTGAAAATTGATCCGGTATGAAAATCAATCCGGTATAGTGTAATCCCAGCCTAATTGCTTTGCATTGCCTGAGTTATTGGGCAATTACTGTATACTGGATATTTTGCAAACAAAGATGATTACCTGGGCTTGCTCACCTACCATAGTTGAGTATATATGCTTTGTCTGTGCAAATATAATTTGATATAAGCTGTATATGTCATTCTCCTGACAGATTTTAATCTTAGAATGATAAAATGATGGACGGTATAAATACTGTATGTAATTGTAACTGGTGTATATAGGATATAATTATGAAATTTGCTCACAAAAGTGGGATAGTTTGGAAAATATATTTAATTAAATTATATATTTGTAGTGCTAATTGTCCCAATACTATATACTCTGAGGATTACCATTGATAAGTGTATGGATATATTTGACAAAGATGTGCATTTATATAATAACACAGGGAAAATATTCATCAATACTACTGTGCAGCCTTTCTACATTGACAACATCTTAAAAGAATACTATATTAATATTAGTTGAAAGGCAGGCAAAAGGGAACAGATAGAAGACATATTCAATTATGTCATGGTATATTGTTTATCATAATGATTGTACAGTTTGGTAGGTTCATTTGACAAACAATTTCCAACTACGATAGTTTATTAAATCAATTTACACACAGTCTCTATTGATTTAAAATTTGTGGTCGTGTGTACCTAGTTATACTAATAGAATTTTAAACCCAGTGCTTGTTGTGTGTTAGTTTACTGGTTTCCTGGTCACAGGGCAATATTCTCAGTATTCAGAGTGTGGGCTATTCACCATGCAGTTCATGTCAAAGGCAGCTAGGGGTGAATGAATTTAATGAAATCGACCAACTGATGTCAATCACACTGTCCATACAGAGTAAGATTAGCAGCATAAGAGAGAGTTGTATATAAATAAGTTTACTAGAGCACAAAATACCTTTATTCACCATTCTAATGCTAGAAGATTTTACTCATGGAACATTGGAAATTAGTGGAAACTAATAATGGAAGGTGGTTAAAAAACAACACAATAACACTGCCTTCTGAGTCTAGCAATGCAACTAGTGGATCACACTGTATACACCTTTATTACACGCATGTGTGTATTTGCGTTCCTCGTGATTTTTTGCCGAAATATTTTTCAATAGAAAAGTTAAGGCAGTACAAGAAGCACGGTAAATACTATTTTTGAATAGAGACTTATGTACCACTGTTGCTATTACACTTGTACAAGCAAACATTGTTTTCTTATATAGAGAAATTATGTTGTTTTTACGATATAGGTTCAAGTTTTTACGTGCTTTCCAAAAATGCAGCAAATAATTTTGTGACTCTGATGTATGAATTGGAACAAAAGAGTTCGCTCAGAACGCAGCAAGTCGCATTTCCGAGGTCCTAGATTTCAAAATTTCCCGGGGGAGGACACCCCCGGAACCCCCTACAAATGCGAGGTCTTAGGCATCAGTTACCTCAGAAACTGGACCGCCCCTGGTTGGAAGAGCATTGGGCTAGTATTCCAAAGGTCGTAGGTTCGAATCCCACCGTGGCCGGGCATATTTTTCAAGCTCGCCCGGTGTGGATATGCACTCAGAGTAACATCGCAAACATAAACTATAGTTTATTTTTGTGAAATTTCACCCGATTTGGAGGACATGAAACTTAACATTGAACTATTACAGTCGAGAACCGACGCTTTGCAATCTCTGGCTAATGCACAGCAGGTATGTTCTCCTATAACTGATTGTCTTCGAAATATCGAAATTCTAAGGCAGGAACTTTCTGAAGAGAGAGAAATAACACAAAAAATAGAATTTGTTTTCAAAGTTTTTAAAGGTGAAAATTTAAATGTTGACGCATTTGGCGGTCAGAATTGTAAATCAGAACCCAAAGTTACAAACAAAGAAATTCCTAAGCGTGACGAAACCATACCGGAATTTCAATGTACTGAAGATTCCCCAGAGGAGATATCTCTAATTATTAACAATAAGCCGAACTATGAGGCAGACGAGTACAGTGTGAATGCAAAGTATGACAAATCATCAATTACACCGGAATTTAGTGTGACTGCACCAGTTTCAGAATCAACATGTATAGCATTACATAAACCAACGAAGCAGACACGCGAGCCTATCACACAATCTAAACGGCCTGTTTGGTTATCCAAGCTGCCTTTGATCAATTGTCCTGAATCTATCCTTAACCATACCGACAATAATTTAACTCGTAGTCGGAAATCAGAATATAAAGTTGCAAACAAAGAAAGCCCTAAGCGTGACGAAACCATACCGGAATTTCAATGTACTGAAGATTCCCCAGAGGAGATATCCCTAATTATTAACAATAAGCCGAACTATGAGGCGGACGAGTACAGTTTGAATGCAAATTATGACAAATCTTCAATTACACCGGAAATTAAATGTGTTGAAGCTTCTCTTGAAAATTCATGTCTTATTGTTGATACAACTTTAAATTCTGAGTCGAAACCAAAGACAGTTCGAAAGCAATCGTTCGCGGTTGTGCCAACTTTACCAAAATCAATCAAAGGCCGTTCGAAATCAAAGCCAAATTTCTTTTAGAAGCAATCGTTTAAACCAGTCAGTGTGACTGCACCAATTTCAGAATCAACATGTATAGCATTACATAAACCAACGAAGCAGACACGCGAGCCTATTATACAATCTAAAGGCCTGTCTGGTTATCCAGGATGCCCTTGATCAATGGTCCTGAACCTCTTATCCTTAAGCATACCGATAACAATTTAACTCGTAGTCGGTCACAGCGAACCCCTTTTCGGAAACGTTCCCAGAATAAACTCCACCCATATTAGACCATGGGCCAGGCATGGACTGGATGAACCACCTAGCTTTGCGTATGGAAATTCCCGTTAGAATTACTCGCCGCGAAAATTTGAGAAACAGAAAAACAGTCCATGCGTATAATAATTTAATCCCACTACAGGCTAGTGAGAACCACACTAGCAGAAATACGTTCAGATATCAGTTCCCTCTAGTCTCAACATTGTTCACTTAAACATTCGCTCGTTAAGAAATATCGTTCACCTTACTGAGGTCAAGGAACTAGTAAAGTTAAATAATATCGATGTCCTCACAATTTCCGAATCGTGGTTAAATTCCTCAGTAACGAACCGTGAGATAGGAATCGACGATTATAAGATCCACCAACTTGACCGGTTACACAAGAAAGGTGGAGGTGTCTGTGCTTATATCAAGAAGAATATTAACGCAACTGTCTTAAAAGATTTATCGAAGGTGTCAGTCTCTAACTTTCATCAACTATGGATAAATCTACAATGCCAAAAAAACAAATCAATAATAATTTGTGTAACCTACCGACCACCTGACACTTCTCTAAATTGTTTCGAAGATTTACTTAAGCCGATTTATGTTCAGGCTTTAACTTTGAATAAATAGATTTTAGTGCTCGGTGACTTAAATTGTAACATACTAGAAAACGGCCAAGAGCGGAGAGCGCTAACAAATGTTTCTACAGAATTAAATCTCACACAGATTATTAAAACTCCAACTAGAATCACGGCGACGTCCCAAACGCTTATTGCTGTTATTCTAGTCTCTTCCACAGCACTTGTTCTTGAGAGTGGTGTTATTAACACTTCTATCAGTGACCACTTACCAGTGTACGTCCTACTAAAGTTAAAGGCCCCAAAGATGCCAGCATGTTACATTACAACTAGGAGTTATAAAAACTATAATCCCTCACTATTTTCCTCTGACCTTGTCACTAAATCGGATCGTCTGTTATCCATATTATCCAACACCAACGTTCATACAATACTCGAAACCTTCAAAGATGTTCTTCACTCAACTCTCGACGTGCATGCACCGTTAAAAACCTTCAAAATTCGAAATCGATCATGTCCATATGTCACCAATGAAATAAAAGAACTCATGAAGTCTCGGGACCTACACCTCCTTCGGTTTCAACTGACACGTGATGAAGGTGATTGGGTAGTTTACAAAGAATATCATAATAACGTAAAAACCAAAATTAAAGCTGCAGCGAAGGACCACACCTTCAACGAAGTAAGAGAACATAAACACAATTCGAGATCCCTATGGAAAATAATTAATAATATAATTCCCTCGAAGGAAAAGGAAACACAAGTTTATAGTAAAGATCCAAAAACAGTTGCAGAAGATTTCAACCATTTTTTACTTCTGTGGGACGGAACGCTGCTGCGACATCCGAAAGTTTAGCCAAAGACAACAATGTTGCACTGTCAAATCCTCTGTCAAATGTAATCACTTATCCATCTGATCAACTGTTCAATTTCCAATCCGTTACTTGTACAGAGGTTCAACGCATTATCATGGCTATGCCAAGTAATAAGGAATATTCACACGTATTCACTGATATTCACTGCGAATATCCTCGGAATATTAGTAGTATTCAGATGTGAATACCTTAGAATAAAACGCACCTCATATTCTCACCTAGAATACGTTTGAATATTGTGTGAATATTTTTGAAGGCATAGTATTCACACTTGCGTACATTATTAAGTGATTTTGTGTCGATATTAAATAATCAAGATATTATTTTGATCAAATATGTGTAGTGATTGTGATTATATAGCTAAGTTTTGCTAAACTGCGCATCAGAGTACTTGCTTCCCAACCTAGACCTAGGCCTTCTATTTTTATTTATATTTTTTTAAGATTCAGCGCTTTTTCACATGAAAAGACTGGGACCAGGTGATTTGGGGGCGGGGCGGAGGAATGACACAAGCCTGACGCAAGCGGAAAAATAGAAGGCCTAGTGGATTTCCCAACAACAAGGCCAAAACTGCCCTGAAACTGCCCTGGTTGCGAAATGCTCAATTATTGCGTTCTCAAACAGAATTATTTGCAACTTAACAGCGAATTTAAACCGATACAGGTAAAATAAACTCATTTATAGTATAATCTTACTATTTTTATTTGTATACACGTCTAGAAAATCGGGTTTTTTATCATAAAGTTTGAAGCAACACTATTATTATGTTGACAAGGTGAAGCGAAAGTACAAAATAATAACTTTTATTCGCAAGACAATCTACTGTTTTGCTTTGAATAACTATATTTGCGAATTGGGAATGAGGATTTTGAAATTATTGTTCAAATATTACGGATATACCATTTGTAAACAATGTATGTTTTTATATACAGTACTGTACGGGCTAATAATATATGTATCCGTTTTATTTTGTATATTTTACAAACACAAGACTGCTTCTTGCCAAAATTGAGAAAATATATATTAATGTAGTTGTGTATAAGACAAAATTTCATGAAAGATTCTACTTTTGCCTTTTGGTATATATTTTGACTCATTTTGTGCTTTCGCTACACCTTGTCAACATAATAATAGTGTTGCTTCAAACTTATGATAAAAAACCCGATTTTCTAGACGTGTATACAAATAAATGTAGTAAGTTTATACTATAAATGAGTTTGTTTTACCTGTATCCGTTTAAATTCGCCGTTAAGTTGCAAATACTTCTGTTTGAGAACGCAATAATTGGGCATTTCGCAACCAGGGCAGTTTCAGGGCAGTTTTGGCCTTGTTGTTGGGAAATCAACTAGGCCTTCTAGGCTTGGTTCCTTCGCCCCGCCCCCAAATCACCTAGTCCCAGTCTTTTCATGTGAAAAACCGCTGAATATTAAAAACATATAAACAAGACTAGAAGGCCTAGGTCTAGGCTGCTTGCTTCCTAGTGATTCTGCAATTGTCTGGCAGTTATCGAGAATTGGGATTCTACTTGGTTGGTTGACTAAACGATTGTTTGTTGACTCGACGATATTTTGGTTTTTTAATACTTTCTATGTCATCATGTCGGCTAACTTATATAAATCTGAGTGCGCTGTATGCCCCTGAACTTATCCGTCAAAATTTACGGTAAATAAATATTGAAAAGAATAATATAAATTTACGTACATCGCTAGGCGCAAGGGGTTATAGATATTTACATATACACGGGGCAGACAGAGCTCGGACGGAATAGACAATACTAGCAGAAGTCTATCTTGAGTCAGTAATGAATGAAAATTATCTTGAATGGAAATTTCAAATTTTCGTAATGGCTAATTTCCTTCACGACATTTTGGCGACATTATTGGCGATATAAAATTGCGGCGCGCAAATTGTAACATTGGTAATAATCAGTTTATTAAATATCACTCACCTGCAAATTCTGCAAACAAGAATTTGTCCCACTGTTTGAAAGGGGGAAAGCATTGTTTTACAAAATAATATAACGATATTGAATGGAGCTATATGTGGTGGAATTGCAGATTGCCTTAAATACAAATATATAAACCCTGGAATTGTTGAAATTTCGTCAAATATCAAAACATGATGGTGATGACAGCATGTTGTCAGCAGCTCACAGCTGGTATGTTGATATACAAAATATTAATAATTGGCCAAAAGGCTGGCACCATAGAATAGGAAATAGAAGAGCAACTCGAGTGTGAAATTTTAAATTTTGCATGTTGACTTTGATCACCAGTATTCTGGGCAGTATTAAAACACTAAACTGTCATCAAATTGAGAGGTTATGCATGCTTTGCCCACTACTATATGTTGCCTTCATTTCCTATTCTATGATGGTACTAATTATAAATTCTACTAAATTGTACTAAGTGGCGGCAGCTGATTATTTACTGCTCAGGGGGCTCGATGAGGAACTCTGCAGAAAATTTAAATGGAATTCTCAAAGCCACACCTAAGCAAAAAAAATTCTGAGACCCTCTCCAAACTGTTAGTGAAGCATTTCATTCCTACAGTCAAACCGGGTGTTCTCTTGCATGCAACATTGCAATATTTTGTCCCGCAATATTGCAATTTTGATAAGCAGGTTGCATGATCTGAGAAATTGCTGTGCTGAGTGGTAATATATTACAACCTGAAATAAACAAGCAGAAACTCGATGTTTGGAGCGAAGGCCCTTGCTTAGTTACTACTAGGGCCCTTGCTTGAAACATCCAGTTTCTGCTTGTTTATTTTAGGTAGTAATATGACTACTCAGCACAGCAATTTCACATTGGTACTACCCACACTAGTACAGACAGTTTTAGGTTGCTCTGAGCAATTTGCAACCGACACAAACAAATTGCAAGTTGAAATTCACAAAAGATTTGTAAACAAAGCCTCTGATTGGATTATCCCGTACCGAAAATCATGGCGTGACATGAGCGATATTCGGGCCATAAAATTGAGCGAGACATGAGCGATAATGAGCGTGACGATACACAGCGATACACGGCGTGTCTCAAACGTGACATTTTCGAGCGAGACATTGGGCGAGACATGAGCGATAATGAGCGTGACGATACACCAGCGATACACGGCGTGTCTCAAACGTGACATTTTCAACCAAATTTCACCGGTACTGGGCCATACATTTTTCAGGCCATAATTTGGCTGGCCTGATTTTGGCTGTATTATGGCTCCACGTTTACGCCGGAAATTAAGAAACGCAATCGCATTTACGCAGACAAGTAAAATAACACATCAATTAATACACACATACCAAGATTGCACGCAATGCTATTAAATCAGGTCAAAAATATAAAGCAAGTTTTTAAAAATTTAGTAAATTAAAAATCATGGACAATAGTTTACACTTCAAACTTTTGGATAAAATGCATTTGTAAAGTTAGCTTTTGTTCAAGTATTTTTATGCATATTTTGCTTTTCCGTCAACAGCGATTAAATTACTTTTATATTTCAACTTTCAAGATAAAAACACTTGATTGAAAGAACATCACGCTATTGTAACGAGCTTTTGCTTATACTAAAAGCCTAATCGACTTGTTTTAACTAATCTACTTTGACATTAGGGGCATTTATATGGGCGAAAATAAGCTGCGGCTTTGAGATGGACGTCGCGAGCGACTCATGTAAACGGTCAATTTGTCCGCAAGCGGCAGCTAAAATATTAAGGACAACAGGGTTGAAGCTAGGCCTAAGTCACTATTCGGGCCGCGGTTTCAGACTTAATTTCGCCATTGCATTATATATGACAAATATGAAAATCGGATTTTAACTTCGGCCTTGAATATTTTGTAGGCCTTTCTATTCCAGCAAATTTCTGTTAAAACGTATAAACATCTGAAGTTTTTATGCCTATAAAAAGAATGCGCGCAATGCATGGTTTTGAAAGCGTAAAGGCCCAAACAGACCGGACGCGATTCGGCAACGCGAATTTTCAATGACATTTACCTAATTTACTTTTTTTCCATGCTTTTCAAATATTCTTAACCACTTAAGCAATTTTAGCTATTTGGTCTGCATATCTTGTAAAATTTTTATCCGTTGACGGTTTTATTTGTTTTTAAAATCTGAAAATTCGCGTCACGTTGTCGAATCGCGTTCGGTCTGTGTGGGCCTTAATAATTACATTGAAAGTATTTAATTATGTATTGCGGTATCAGGCGCAAAACTGTACAGAACAGGTACCGTACCTGTGGTACGTAAACGTTGAGATTAATTACTTACATTTAGAAGAAACTTGAAGACTGTCTCCAATGCATATATTGCCAACGCCTTGAATCTCAAAGTCGCACAGAAACTTTGCGAGGGACACTATCATTTGACCTGAACGTCGCCTGGCTGAAGACTTACCGAGAATACAGTGCAATATATAACGATGATCATTGTTGAAAATCCGCAACTTTTCCCTTGTTCGACCGACCGTGTATGGTTCCCTGCTTGAAAGCGATGCGTGTATACAGCAAAATAAAACCAACTCAAATTGCGCGCCTTGTCATCCGAGACAAAACAAATTAATTTTTTAACGTAACGCTCTTGTCGTGCTCAGTTTCTTTCAATTTTC